GTTGTCAGTTGCTGCTTTTGATGTTTTATTTCCTTTCTGGAGTTGGAGAGGAAGAAAGAGAGACAGAGTGTGCAGGAGAGCTGAAATGCTTTTTGTTTTTTAAAAAGAAAAAAAAAATCTGCAGATTTTCACCGCAAAGCTCTATTTCCCTTTGAGTCTAAAGAGAAGTGCCTCTTTAACAACTAATCCAAAATGGATGAAGCAAATTCCACCCTGTGGTCATTTACGAGTTATTCACAGAAATTAAATGATCAATGATTCTGACCTTCAGACAAATATTTAAACAATTTTACAAATTTATTTATTGATATTTAGAATATAGAATTAGATCAATCTCTGATTAAGAAAAATTATTGATCCCTTTAAAGAGACCAAACTGGTTAACAATATTTCCTGACACAGATCAGAGGTTTTTAAATGATACTAGATATATTAAGTCAGTATCATATCAAACAATTGGATATTCTACATTAACTTTGATTATTTTTTATACGAGCAGTGGAGGCACACCATGAGAGACCTTTGATTAAATAAAACTAACTCATGGTGATGATGTCCCATCATATGTCCTTTCCAGGCCTTAGAAAAACCGGACCACTGCTCGACACTCAACAGGCTCCATTTTATGACTTGACTCAGTTCAAACTAACCTGACTCCACCAGATGGATTTGCTCCGCATATCCATCAGGAAACCTTACGTTGAAGTAATTTTGGGAAGGGGCGAAAATACTGGTTAGCTGATTGGCCTATGTTGGTGATAGACGGGCCAAATAAACCAATCAGATCAACGAAGCATATGACGTACTAACAGAGCGACGACGAAGAGGAGCCAATTGATAGATCAAACTCTCGCCGAAACCAGTCGGGAGAAGAGCAAAAACATCTTTTCCTCTGAGAAAAGCCTCCAGAGCAGTGTTTTGCTCTTCTTTCAGTGAAGAAATACTCTGTAATTCCGATAAAACTTGCTTGATAGCCACGCTAACGCTAGTTTCATCGGCTGAAGCCGCCATGTTCTTTAGACTGAACTGTCACGCTTCTCGTTGCGTCACACCTCAACCCGCCTCAAAGCCAACGCTGATTGGACGTTCATTTGGTGAACGGCTCCAAATTTTCTTTAACGGAGAGTCTCCAGACTGATCTGCGAGTGAAACCTTGAAAGCTCGCGAGATCAGGATGGTCTCACGAGGCTAAATTCAAACACCTGTTAAACAGAAATTGTCATGATCTGACCTGATTTCTCCACCTTAACTGTCTATTTCATTCACCTGCTGTTCCCTCCCTACTATAATTATCATTTATTTCATTCACCTGTTTCCTGGGCTTTATATTCGGTTCAGCCTGAGCATTCGGGGCCAGATTGTTATTTGTTTTGTTAGTCTGTCCAGTCTGTTCAAGTTATTCCTTGGTTCCACCCTGGTTCCTAGTGGCCCCTGGAAGGAGAGGGTTTGGTTTCTGTCTCGTCTCCTTATCCTGCATTGGTTCTTCCCCGCGGAGCCCTCAGGGTTTTGGCTCGGAACGTGGGGAGGATCAGTTTTTATTCCCGTAAGCCTGGCTCCTAGGAGGCGACTAATTTAAAGGTCCTGCTCACGTTTTGGTTTCAACGTCCTGTCTCTGTTACCCTCACCACTGAGCCTGCCCGTCTGCATCTAAGCCTGTCCTCCTAGTCACGCTTCTGAAGACGGACTCTAAACCTGCCTGGGATCTCTGAGGATTCCTGGAAGCCTGGATCCAACTGTTCCTGCCTAAACTTTCTTCCCCTGACTTGGATCGGCTTCCTGTAAGCTCTCTGGGCTGCAGCATCGGGGACACTGTGTGACGCACGCTGCGCTGTTTGGAAGCCCATTGGTCCCCGCACCTATCATGGACTGGTGACGGTGCTGGGCTGGACTATTCTCCTACAACCAGAGTGTCTGTGATTGGGCGGTGCCCCTCCCCCCTCCTGCAGTCGCCGTGAGCCACAGCCCTGCGCTCCTGTTCTGTTTCTGTTTGTTTTATGTCAATAAACGTTTTGAACTTTCCTACTGACTGTCTCACCTGGAATACTGGGTCCATCTGTCCCGTTTATGACAGAAACCACAATTAGTTCAGAGATATAATTTGCCACTTCATGTATAGAGATATAGATAATTGCACATGCAAAACTTCAGCTAGTTCTAACAATTGGTACTCGGTCAGTGGTATTACTTATTGAACGCCCCTCCTAGCTAAGAGCTGAAATATGATAAATAACTGATCATTTTACATGTAATTAAATTTTTTGGAGAGAGGCTGAAATATCGTATTTAAATTTCCTTTTTTAATTATAGAAAAAGTGTTTCCTAGTTCAGATTTAAAATGCTAATGTCCCTTTTTGAAGCATTAAAATTCTATTTCTAAAATTGTAAAAAAAAAATCCCAGCAGTGTGCTTATTTATGTACCTAATAGAAAGATTTTATGAAATATTTTTGTTAATTTTAGTTAAAGAATAGATTTGGCTTTAGGATTTTGGGAGTAGAAATATTTTTCAGCGTCTTTTAAGAAAATGTTGAGTTTTTGTTTTGTTTGTTTTGGTTTTTACATTTCAGTTAGTAACTGAGTTACTCCACAATAAAAGTAACTAGTTAGTAGTTAAAGTATCTATTGCGTTACTTTTGCGAGTGTATGAAATTAATAACTGGGGATGTCTAATTCTGAAATCCTGTGTTTGGGTTGTTATAGATACTGCGACATGTAGCTATATCCATCCATCCATGCGCGAGCATGCGCGTTTCCTGTCGCTTGCGCGGTGAATTGTGCCGCCTGCGCTGTGCGGAGATGCAGGGGGAACCGTATCTGATGGGGAAACGCAGCTGGACGTAACACCGGTATTTCCATCTGGAAAACGCTGTTTTGCCGCTGGAGTCCTCCTCACTCTCCATCCTCCCCTCTCTCATGACGCGCGCACGAGTCCTATCATGAAAAAAGGTTCATTGTGCGACCTGAGTAACGTGCAGTAACGGGGTGTCGGCAATTGTAACTGCGTTATAGTTACAGTAAGAGTAATAATTTTGATTACTCGTTACTAAAAAAGGTAGCGGCGTTAGTAACTTTCAATGCCGTTACTCCCATCACTGATTTCTATCAGTCTAATACTGAGTTTGGAGTATTAGGAGGAATGTTTTAATCTTGCTTTCAAGTCAAACCACAGGTCTCCTTTTCAATTGAAAATAAACATTAAATCTTACTACATCCCTAAGCTATAAATATTATTTATTTATTATTATGCCATCTATTAGTTACTATTAAGGGATCTGGCCTAAAACATATAAAAGTCATATAGATGCATTGGTCAGACTTTAGGTGGAGGCTATTAGAATTGAATACAGAGATACCAATCAATTATACCAATATTCTCTTCCTACAATCGCCTTTGGGACTTGGTGCAGTTTAAGACCAGTCAAATCAAGACATAAATTCATTCCAGTAAATGTAAAACATCAAGAAAGGAGAAATGAATTACGGGGCAAACTAAATACTAAAATTCAATGTTCGTATTCTACATTAAAAATTCTGTTTATCACACGGTGTGGTGTAAACCGGTAGCCTGACGTAGTCCTACTCAATTCTAGTCAGAATATGAGTCTGATGCTGCTCCATAGAGCTGTGATTATGGGGCGTGTTTCGAACGAACCAGGGAAAAAAATGCCTCTGCACTCAATTGGATAGATCTACAACCAATAAGAGCAATGGAGTGCGTGAGGTATGTTAAGCGACGCATAGTTGTTGTCAACAAAAATCAAAGCGTGCAGTTGCACGCCTAGAATAAGAAGATGAGCCATGATCACGTTTCTCTGTTCCTCTTTTAAAATTAATTTGCTGTCGATATCTTCTAGAACAGACCTAATAGCAGAGTCTACTCACCTCAACTCTGCAGCGGCAGCCATTGTTGTTGTCACCCAAGCGCGCTTTGGTCACGTGGTTGATTACGTTACTGTTGATCATCTGTCCATCTTCGTATAAAGCCCGCCCTGACAATTTGATTGGCCCTCGAGATATTGTGTGAGCATACTCGCGCTACTATTGAGCAATGCCAGACCGAACTTCCCGACTTCAAACGTTGTGGGCGGGACTAAGTTCGGAATGGCACCCAGGCTAGTAAACCAGTGGAACAGTCTTGAAGATAAAGACCCATAAAGAGTGCTGAAACTTACACCCCTTCAAAAGGATGTTCGAAAACCATGTATCTGAGAGATAAAGTCTGTCAAGGAGGAGAAATTATAAGGATGGAGGCTGGAGTTTAAAAATTATTTGAAAAGCATTTATATATATATATAGATATATAGAAAGATAGATATACATACATGTCTCCTATTAATCTTTGAAGAGGTCTTGCTCTGCTGGTATGCATAAACAAAATATGATGTGGGACGTAATAATTTTGCGAGATTTGTTAGGATCCTGTTTGCTAAAGATACAGTATTGAGGTTTACACTTACTGAGGAACATGTGGTGGTAAGCTGACAGAAGTGGGATAGAACCCTATAGGGTTTGAACTTCTTACTCTGAGTAGTTGTACGATTTTATATAATTTTTGTATACTTGAATGTTTTCTTCTTATGTATACTTGAACAAATCAATGAAATGAAATGAGTGAATCTGAGCAGAGGAAGAGGACATGGCTGAAATGAAATTGCAGACTTGTTAAGTATCCTGCCTCTAAGAAGCCCCTCCTTAGGTCAGGGTTGAAACTGAAACTCCTGCCTCCCCACAGGGACATTCATTGGTGGATTTCTATCCACATTTATTTAATTTCAGTCCCGGTTCCTGCATTGGAACCAAAGGAGGTAAGAGAACTAAAACAGGAAACCATGGACATTCCTGAAACGCACCCTGCAGTGGATACTTAGCAACTGGCTGTTATGTAGGAGATAATAACTTCCTAAGTCGTTACAGTCTGTTGGTTTAATGTCTAAAATAGTTACAGATTTCGGTTTAAAGTGGATTTTAATGCTCCCAAATGTCTCTGTTCTCTTACTCTAGGTTTTACTGATTCCCAGACCTTAGCCGTTCCACTTTCCAGGATGGAATCCAAGAAACGGAGCAAGATGGACATTTTCCGGAACAAAGTTCTGCCACGTCTCCACCTGGGCAAGACTCACTTACCCAAGCGTAGCCACAAGCCCAATCACCTTATGGACAGCCGGATGAGCACATCCGTCCCAGATATCAGCAACATGAGGCAGGAGCGCGTGGCCTCCAGCATGCAGGCCCATCTTCAGAACTCTGCAAGCCACAGCACTCTCTCCTCACTGTCTCCTCGTAGGGAGGGAGGTGGGAGTGGCCTGCAGGTACCTGGAGCAGGAGCTAAAAAGGCCGAACACAGACGGAGCATGCCTGCAGAATGCACAGAGTGGGCTTTCTCTGAGGAGTCTGTCAATGGTTTCTGTGGAGAAGAGAGGATCTTAATGGAGGCAAAACAAAGAGCAGTTTCAGGTATAGAGCCTGAGGAGTTGGCTCTGCCAGAGATGATGACGGTCTACAGCCCAGACATCCCTAAGGAAGAGCTTTCCCCCGACAATTCACAGGTACAGCAACTGCTTTTTACGACATTCTGATATGAATCACCTCTCCAGAAATTACTAGTTTATCTATTGGATATTGATAATGATGATGCATTTGGTTAAAGGGCATTTTGATAGGATCTGTTTCCAGAAAACGGCAACACATCTATTGTTCATTTGAAACCATGTCAGTGACGGCCTGTTAGCTTAGCCCTCCATCGCCGGGCTTAAACTGTCAGTAACATGAGCAGTTCAACAACAAATTAATCAATCACCATATGAAGTCAAAATTCTTTGCATCTTTATCTATATTTGCCATTTACACTGGAAAAAATCAAAATCTAGATAAAATAAGTGCATTTCTTCTTAAATTGAGGAGATTAAAGAGACATTTTGCCAATGGAACAAGACATATTTAGATTTAAAATAAGAAAACACAATTGCATCTTCTTTTTTCAAGTGCATTTCATCTAATTATCTTATTTTAAGGGTAAAAATACTCATTCCATTGGCATATTATCAAATTTACCTATTCAAATCAAGAGTAAATACACTTAAATTAAGAAATGTTTACTTATTTCTAGATCATTTTTGCAGTGTAAGTATTTAAAAGTCACAAAGTTACAAATACATTTTGAAGATTCTGAACATGTAATCTTACATACAGACTATATTTAAATTCAAAATTGCATTAAATTTAGATATAAATAAAACTTAAAGGTGAGAATGTTTTAGAAAGAGGATCATTTTAAACAGCAGCTATAAGCAGTCTCGATGGTGGAAATTGAGGATGAGGGTAATGTGATAATCTAAAGAAATAGGACTTTGTTGTGTACATTGGTGTGGGGAAGGTGTCGGGTGTATTTGCATAAAAATGGCAAAGTTTAACTTGCAGAAGGTGGATAAACAGCTTCAGGATCTCCACCCAAAACCAACAGCAGCTCTGTTTAAACTGTGGTTTTAAGAGACTGAGGCAATGGTTGAAACTTGTTGCGTCGGACGTTTACCTCGAGAAAAAAAAAAAAGAAAAAGATAGTTCTAAGCAGGGGCGGATCTAGAAAAATATTTATGGGGTGGCAAGAGGGGGGCAGGAATTTTTTAGGGGTGGCAACATATGGCATTTGAATTTAATCACAGTTATCACAGTTTGGTGAGAATAGTATGTACAGTACAGTACTAGTGTTTCATGTGAAACAGTTCATATTAATAATACATCGTACAATGTGATCTCACTTAATAGGAGATAGAAGAATGATAACACTACTTCTAGAGGGGCCTTATGACAGGAAAGGTATTAAGGTAAGACACAGGTGCTGAGTCGCAGATGTGTGAGATTGACTGTCAGAGAGGCAGCTTTGCAGCATTTGCACAAGAAGAAACTATAGAAAGAAAAAGTTCCCCATCAGAGATCTATGGACTGAGCTGGACTAAAGTGAGCATTACTACACAGTAGAAATAAATGGGTCAAGGCACCCGAACAAGGTACCAGACATCCATGTATTGTTGACTCTGAACACACATTTACCCCATTTGTTCCTCAGTAACTTGACATACAGCAGTTAAGGCAACATGAAAGATACATTTCATGCATGTAGATCTGCTGTAGATAGAGCTGTATATGGAGGACCAACTCCGCCATATTTAAAAATAAATACAGAAATAAATAAATGCTCAATAAATAAATAAGCATACAATTAATTGCCACCAAAAATACAATCAACAAATAAATGTAATTAGAAATTATATTATAATGGCAGGCAGAAATGTTAAAAGGGCAGGCAGAAAGAAATAGCGGCGAAGAAATAACTAGGGTAAAAAAATACAAAAGAAGAATAAAACAGACAAAAATATTATAACATGCACATAAATAAATACTTAAAAATATAAGTAATTAAAAAATGAAGTTGAAGATAATAAATGACAAAAAAATTAATAAGGTAAATATTAAAAAGGCAAAGAAATAAAAAAGCCAATTAAAAGAGTTATATACCTTTATGACTAGCTGTATAATTTAATTTCTACTTACATTTATTTGTTGTTTGTATTTTTGGTGGCAATTAATTGTATGCTTATTTATTTATTAAGCATTTATTTATTTCTGTATTTATGTTTAAATATGGCAGAGTTGGTCCTCCATACTGCTGTATCAACAAATCAACAAAAAGGCGGGTTCTGTATGTTACATCAAAATCTCCACAAATCTGAAAAGAAGCAACATACAAATACATTTTGCTTGTGAGTAGGTTCATACGGGTCATTTCTGGATAGTTTCATATTATATATACAAAAAAGAAACAACAACGCCGCTTCATATTAAGCAGGATTTACACCAGTATCACATTTTTAACTTTTAACACTTTTGGTTTTATTAAAGGAAATATCAGATTTTCTCAGGTGCCAAAACAAAATGTAGCAGCTCTGTAAAGGCTCACCAGAGAGCAGAACATAAAGTTAACATGACTATAACAGCTGAATGCAGCGATTTCCATGTTGCTCAGCAAAACGCTTCACAAATTTATTTAGATCCAATGCCTTTGTGCGTTTTGATTTGAGTTCAACCAAACTTAACAGTCTCTTTTCTGTCATAGTTGACCGCAAATATGTCTTTATGAGCCTGAGACGTCAGGCCTAAATAACATCATAGTTAGAGAAATAACGTTCTGCAACCTGATTTTTATCATCTCAAAATCAGCATTGCAGCTATGCTAGCAACATTGTGCTTTCATTATGATTTCATTTCTCGATAGATAGTTAAACAGTTTTTATCTGTTTCATCCCGTGTCTCCTCTCCCCATGAACCGTGGCTCCCTCGCTTTGCCCCATTCGGTTTTCAAAACAATCAGTCTCAGTCGCTCTCGCGTCATCTCGTGCTGCATTCACTGCAGTCCGACATTGGAAATTAGCGGTCGTAATTCTCAAATGATCCATAATTTATAAGCCTCGCCACCCCTACAGCCAACTGGGGTGGCAGCTGGGGTGGCAAGGCTGTCATTTAGGGTGGCATTTGCCACCCTATGCCACCCCAGTAGATCCGCCTATGGTTCTAAGTTTTTTTTTTTTTAAACAATTAAGAGGGTAAACTTGTCTCTTGTTAGATTAACTCATCAAAATTAAACAGGTTCTCTTTTATGCATTTTTCCCCCACAACGTATCACATTATGGCAGCTTTTCCAGTTTGGATCATGAGTCCCGCTTTGTTTCTATTGCCAAACACTTTTCTTCATAAAACCTTTGATCTTTCAGAGCTGCTGGAAAATTTCTGAGCAGACATGTGGTTAAAACAATAAAAAATGTTTGCATGCACACATAGCTGTACTACTTTGTGAACTGCATCACATTCTGTTAAGAAGCAGCTGGTTGGATGATGCCATCCATTGTTTGGCATGCTGCGCCACCGTGTCACATTTCTGATCTCTGAAACTTCTGGAGTATTTTGATAATATTTAAATCAATCTCCTTTACATATATTTAATAAATTTGAGCTCTAGTGGTTGCTCTTTCTAAACTACCAAAATGATTCCATCAGAAGTTTATATAACCTTGTTTATAAAACATCATTTTAATCACTCTAACATCATTGACAATATTCCACAGCTTTATTTTCTCAGATTATATAATCCTCAGCTTATCTGGGAAGTAATTCGGTTTAATTGCGATAAGAAGATGTCAGCCAGTGAAAGGTAGAGTTGGCCTTTGGTTTGGATCAGTCGTTATTAACAGTTGCGGTTCTAGACCGAATGTACCAGGGGGGCCAGGAGGGGGGCAGCGTGTTTTATGGGGGCACAGAAAAGCATGAAATCAAAAACAGGGCAGTTTTTCAGGTTTGTTTTGGTAAGTTTATAAAACTGAATGAGCTGAGATAAACAAAAGTGGAAATTTAGAATAAAGAAATGTCAAAACGTAATAATTTATTATTAATTTATACATAGTAAAATTTTAACAGGGTATTTAAAACGCATGAACATAGCTCTGTCTTTAAATCCTTTTTCCCTTTTTTACATGTTGTAGTCTTAAGCTTATATGTTATTTAGGTTAAATGATGTGACACGGTGAGTAACTGCACAGGGGAGGAAATCGCAAAATTCACGTTTTCTAAATGCATCATCGTCAAAATAAAAATCAGCAAAGGGGAGTCAGACAGCTGTTACTAATGACCTCAGTGCTGTCACGTCACACAGTATAGAAGTGAAAGTATAACAAAATAATAACCCCTGATTTGGCTTTTATTTTTTACCTACTACTTTCTTAAGGATTGGGAACATTTATTACAGTGGGCATTCCTTATTTAGCCTCGTGAGACCATCCTGATCTCGCAAGCTTTCAAGGTTTCACTCGCAGATCAGTCTGGCTACTTTCCGTTAAAGAAAATTTGGAGCCGTTCACCAAACGAACGTCCAATCAGCGTTGACTTTGAGGCGGGTTGAGGTGTGACGCAACGAGAAGCGCGACAGTTCAGTCTAAAGAACGTGGCGGCTTCAGCCGATGAAACTAGCATTATCGTGGCTATCGAGCAAGTTTTATCGGAATTACAGAGTATTTCTTCACTGAAAGAAGAGCAAAACACTGCTCTGGAGGCTTTTCTCAGAGGAAAAGATGTTTTTGCTCTTCTCCCGACTGGTTTCGGCTGGAGTTTGATCTAACTATTGGCTCCTCTTCGTCGTCGCTCTGTTAGTACGTCATATGCTTCGTTGATCTGATTGGTTTATTTGGCCCGTCTATCACCAACATAGGCCAATCAGCTAACCAGTATTTTCGCCCCTTCCCAAAATTACTTCAACGGAAGGTTTCCAGATGGATATGCGGAGCAAATCCATCTGGCGGAGTCAGGTTAGGAACCCAGAGTACCCAGAAAGAACCCACACAGGCTTAGGGAGAGCATGCAAGCTCTGTGCGGGTTTTGAACCTGGATCTTCTTGCAGCAAGGCGGCAGTGCTACCCACTGCACCACTGAGCAGCCAAAGCAAACCATCTCACTTTGGCCGATTTACAGCTGATAATCTGTGAGCACAGCTCGCTGCATGAGA